AAGCATTACCATAGTGTTGAAATTTACATTCTGTAGTGGCATGGAAGAATTAACCCCATAAAATGGAAAGAATGACAAAATATTCTCTTGTCTTAATACTTTTGCACAGTACTGAATGATGATTAGACAAGCTGTAGTTTTAGTAGAAAATACATATGTAACATTGTGTCTAGACGTTTCAAATTTTAATTAATCAGGAGACTGAATAAGCACAAGGAATGAGGTGCAAAAGATATGAGAAGAAAATTTTTTTTTTAAATCTGTTGTAACATGAAAAATAGTTTTGAACCTTCTTTAATAGACTGTTTAGGAAGAGCATTCATGATGAAACTAAGTTCATTGGATGGCAACTGACTGTTGTAGAAACACAAGTGTAGAGGATGACATTTCAATGGTCTTTCGCCTTTCATCTTTCTAGTCTTGAAGACAAAAGGTGGAAGACTTTTTAAATGTCGTCCTCTACAGTTGTGTTTCTACAACAGGCAGTTGCTGTCAAATCAACTTAGTTTCATCAGTTTTGAACCTGTTTACTCCACACTCTTCCTTTGGATTTACATACATCTCTAAATATCCACCCAGCATATGTTTCTTTAGACCTTAGATTTGACTTGCATGAATAAAAATACTGATTAGTGCTCATAAAGTTGTAACAAAAAATGATGCTAAGAATGTATAATCTTGCAGAAAAGTTGCAACTATAGTGAAACAAAAAGAAGCTACTTCTACCCATTTAAAGAAGAAATAATGAAGTTTCGAGTAGTTGTAATGACTCTGATATCAACAGGGCGGTATGTAAAATTCAAGTTTTGATATCTTTATTTGCTTTGAAATTGAGAGACTTGTTAAGTTTAAATCCGAGTTTCTAGTAACTTATTTCTCATTCAGTGATTATTTTACTTTTTGTTCAAGGTCATTCTTTTGAGTTGTATTCTCTGAAACCAGTCTAACTCAGAGGAGTGGGTCTAAAAAATGGTTTTTGAAGGAATCATTTACAGTTTCCTATCCTCGTCATAGTACTTCACAAACAATTTAACATCCCCTTGAAAATATAGTGTAACGGAAATCTAGCATGTACACATGAATGCTTAAAAATGAGTACCTCTATATGTCACTACAGTTATATACATACACTGAGTGGTCACAAGTAAATAGAC